TTTAACAAAGCACACAGAAGGCATACCACTGCTAGATAGATTGTATTACATACCTATCAGCAATTGCATAGCTTCGGTGGCTTTGAAGAAAGCCGTTTGGGTTTGTTTAAACGAAAGAAAAAAAATATTTACATATATTTTTATTAATATTTATATTCCAATACAATACATGCACAAAAGTAAAACACGAACAAAGTACAAACAAACTATGTACAAAATTAAAAAAAAAAACAAATTATTTACATTCTAATGGATAAGAGATAAGATAAGATAAGTGGAATCATCTCGCTTTCTTATGGAAAGATTTAATTACGTCCACGTAAAATGTTGGTGAACGTTTTAATTGTACCAATAACTGTTTTTAATTGCGATAATTGATAAGTGTGAAATACACTCACAACCTTGTGTATTATCTCAACAAAGTTTAAAGATTACCTCTCCGATTATCACTTTAACACACTTCAATTCATCACAAGGAACACTATTATCCTCCATTTTCATTAAAAATCTTTAAAAAAACATACATTTTGAACTCGTAATATTAGCGTGAAATGAACTTGCAAACGTATTGCCCGCGCGCCTCCGATTTTAACAAATTTATTCCCAAAAGCCTGGCTTTAAATCTCTATACTAATTGCTATATACCTAGTCAGGTCTTAAGTATTGTCACACAGTAAAAACTTTTCTTTTAGAATGCTGGCCACAAAAAAGTTTATTGAATTCGAATTTCGAATTGTTCATGAAAATAAAGCCGTATACTTTTTAGAATTTTACTCATTTTTAAATGTGGAGTGGACGCTTAAAGAAGACCGTGTTGCAGTTATTGCGTTGCATCGTTGCGGTTACGCGCCAATTCAAATTTTTGACATACTGAAAAATTTTGATTATAACCAAAAGATTCGTTCATCGTACCATCAAACGATACTATGAAGACTCTAGTGTAGATGACAGGTCGAGAAGTGGTCGCCCTCGGTCTGTTAGGACTCCAGCAGTGATAAAAACTGTGAAGGCGCGAATTCAAAGAAATCCCAAACGTAAGCATAAACTGTTGTCCCTACAGATGGGGTTAAGCAGAACCACGGTGAAAAGGGTGTTAAGTGAAGACTTAGGGCTTCGGGCATATCGAAGAAAAACAAGACATCGTTTGAATGCTGGTCTAATGGACCTGAGACTGAAGAGATGCCGCGCTTTGTTGAAGCGGTACACGGGAAAAAATATCGGGAAATTCTTTTTTCGGATGAAAAAATTTTTACCGTAGAAGAGAGCTACAACAAACAAAATTATAAGGTGTACGCACACAGTAGTGAAGAAGCGAGCAACTGTATTCCGCGTGTCCAACGAGGTCATTTTCCATCCTCGCTCATGGTATGGTTGGGAGTTTCTTATTGGGGCTTAACAGAGGTACATTTTTGTGAGAAAGGTGTAAAAACGAATGCATTTGTATATCAAAATATAGTCCTGACGAACCTTGTGGAACCTGTTTCTCAAACCATGTTCAATAACAGGCACTGGGTATTCCTACAAGATTCGGCGCCAGCTCATAGAGCGAAGAGCACACAAGGCTGGCGGCGCGTGAAATCGACTTCATCCGGCAGGGAGACTGGCCCTCCTCCAGTCTAGATTTGAATCCCTTAGATTACAAGATATGGCAACACTTGGAGGAAAAGGCGTGCTCAAAGCCTCATCCCAATTTGGAGTCATTCAAGACATCCTTGATTAAGGCAGCCGACGCTATTGACATGGACCTCCTTCGTGCTGCGATAGACGACTGGCCGCGCAGATTTTAGGCCTGTATTCAAAATCACGGAGGTCATTTTGAGTAAACTTTAGTGTCATAAGAATCTATGTTTTGTTAAGTTCATTTTGGTATATAAATGGTTACATAATGAATAAACTTGTTGCAATTATTTTATATTAAGCATGTGACAGAATTTATGACCTGACTAGGTATACAATCGTAGTTATATTTCATTATAGAATATTTTGCCATAGGTTAGAAAGAGAGCGATCGTCTTCTCGAAAGCCCCGTAAAAAGCCCACGCGAGCGAGGGAGACAACTATTAGCTCTATTAAAACTCATTTTTTATGACAGCAGCAGTATCGCCAAAGAGTATAATAAGTATAAGTATCGCTAAGGCAATACGAGGTCATCGGTCGACATGTGTCGAACAGTGGAGTGCGCGGGAAATTTGAAATAGCTTGAAACATTTTACGAGTTATTTTATTAGTTGATATTTTTGATTGATTCAGGTTTAATAAGGCAAGCCCGGCTTTTTGGCTTTAATGGAAGCTTCACCACTGAGTTGGAGAGGTCTCGTCTAATGAAGTCAACGCTCTGTCACCCTCGTGCTCTAATCCAGAATCCTGAAACCTTTCAGCTCGAGTTACGCAACCGCTTTCAGTGCTTAGAAGATTGCAATGTAGTGGACGATATGAATTACAAGCTCGTGGAAACTGTCCATGCGGTCGGAGCTAAGTTCTGCAAGACCGGCCGCAGAAGAACACAAAACCTCTCCGATCACACTATTAATCTCATGGCTGTTAGACGGGAGATGAGGCTGCAATCGTCAACAGATTTGACAGCATACAGGCAACTGAACATACAGATTTCCAAATGCATGCGGCGAGACTTACGTAAATTTAATACTGCTCGTATTGAAGAAGCAATTGAGCGGAACCAGGGCTCCAAAGTCTTTGCCAGAGATCTGTCTGCCACTAAGAGCCAACTGTCAAAGCTAAAGACTGAGTGCGGCAGCATCGTTTCCGGGACACCTGAGATTCTGAGTGAGATTGAGAGGTTCTATGGGCAGCTGTACACATCATCGTTGGAGCCACACGCAAGTGTGAATAACGAGCCAAGAGCAAGTCTTATCCGACCCTATTCCGATGATATCCCGGACGTCAGTCTGAGCGAGATTAGAATGGCTCTCCAGCACCTTAACAACGGCAAGGCCCCGGGCGAGGAATTACAGCGGAGCTTCTGAAAGCGGATAGAAAACCAGTACTTGGAGTCCTTCAGAGGCTCCTTAATTCCGTCCTTCATGGTGGCACTATTCCGGACGCGTGGAGCAGAAGTGTGGTGGTCTTGTTCTTCAAGAAAGGTGACAACGCCCTCTTGCAGAACTACAGACCGATATCCCTTCTGAGCCACGTCTACGTGCTGTTTTCGATAGTCATTACGAATTGTCTCGCACGCAGACTCGACGACTTCCAGCTTCCCGAACAAGCCGGTTTCCGAAAAGGCTTTAGTACCATAGACCACATACATACCCTTCGGCAAATTGTACAGAAGTCCGAAGAGTACAATCTGCCACTTTGCCTGGCATATGTGGACTATGAGAAAGCCTTTGATTCCGTCGAAATTTGGGCGGTGCTACAGTCTCTTCAGCGGTGCCAAGTTGACTGTCGGTATATTGAAGTGCTGAAGTGTTTGTACAGTAGGGCTACGATGGCTATCCGAGTACAGAACCAGAGTACGAAACCCTTACAGCTGCAGAGAGGTGTAAGACAGGGTGACGTTATATCCCCGAAACTCTTCACCGCTGCATTGGAAGATGTTTTCAAGCTATTGGACTGGAAAGGATACGGTATTAACATCAATGGCGAGTACATCACTCACCTTCGATTTGCCGACGATATAGTCCTTATGGCAGAATCGCTGGAGGACTTAAGCACTATGCGCTCAATGACCTCAATAGTGCCTCCCAACGGATAGGTCTTAAGATGAACATGGACAAAACAAATATCATGTTTAATGTCCATGTCACACCTATGCCGGTAGTTGTTGGGAGCACTAAGCTCGAAGTTGTTGACGAGTACGTTTACTTGGGACAAATAGTCCGGCGAGGTAAGTCCAACTTCGACCGAGAGGTCAATCGACGGATTCAACTCGACTGGGCAGCGTTCGAAATTACGACACATCTTCTCGTCAGGTATACCTCAAAACCTGAAAACTAAGTTGTACAACCAGTGCGTGTTGCCAGTGATGACCTACGGAACCGAGACGTGGTCCTTCACTGCTGGCCGTATGAGGACGCTCAAAGTCGCTCAGCGAGCTATGGAGATGTCTATGCTCGGAGTTTCTCTGCGTGATAAACTTAGAAATGAGGATATCCGCAATAGAACCAGAGTGACCGACATAGCCCAACGGATTAGTAAGCTGAAGTGGGATTTAATTTTATGGATCCCAAGCAGATGGTAGCACCCAGCCATCTTCTCTATTGAAATTAGGATGTTTTTGATTTCAATAGCCTCACGAATCATCCTTGGAAGGAATCAGTGTTCTTTAGCGAGGATTTGTGGTCTATCAAATCCGATGTAGTGACGGGGGCGATCCTATACATGTTCACTGACTGCAGACTTCCCGGAGCGTCGATTCTTCACATTTAAAAGTTAAATATACGCGATGAATTCCCTGTCTTTGGGAGAAGACTATGTTCAGTAGTGGTCGTTATAGGTGTGTAATGGATGGATGAATGGATATTGAAGTAAAATATATGTGTATGAGTAGTTTTAAATTTTAGTATTTTTATATGCAATGAATTTCGATAAATAATATCTTTATTGTTTGGCATTTTTTGTAATGAAACAAAATTTCGTCCAAATATTATGAATTTTCTAATGTATTTTTTTTTGTTACAGGTAATAAACCGTTTCACAAATGTTTTTGGATGTGATTCATGATTGATTTTCATCTGATAATATTATGTAAGTATTTAGATTTTAACAAAGACAAGAAAATGCACATTATGTACTTAAAAGCCTTTTATTTTAATTCTAATAAACAAACTTTAAAAGTTTAAATTAAAATAATAAATTTTTTTATCCAAAAAATTTAATAAAATAAGAGTAGGTAATAATGAGACACTTGAGCTTGCATGTTCTGTACCAGTAGGTTGATTCTAGGTTTTGTTCTTGCCAGAGCTATCATCAGGTCGCTATCGACATCAAGACGATTTTGCTGTTTAGTTTTAATTAAAACTAGAGCCGAAAAGCCTGTCTTACAAGTAAGTTGAAGAAAAAGGAATTGGTACTCGTAAAGCAAGAGAGGCAAGTTTCGAATTAACAGGCAATCTTTTGATCCAAAATTTCTCCAATGTCAAAAGATGGAAGTCATCTGTCATGGACGAATCAGCTTTCATTTCTAGAAATTCTTCCTGAACTTCTTCTGGTAATTGTAACACAGCGACAACAAATGGATTTCTTGTCATGTGCCATATTGGTGACTCTGAATCGATGTCTCGATGGTATCGGCGAAATTCGTCTTCCAGCGCTTGTAAATGAGTTTTTATGTCAGCTTTCAAATTTGCGTCTAGTTTGTTATTTTTGATTGCTTCGAACAGCCGAGAAAAAGATATAACATATTCAGAAGACAATTTTTTGTTCCAAAGTTGAAGCTTTGCTATGAACCCCTGAATATAATCATAATTGCTTATTATAGTGCCGTTTCTGCCCTGAAGTTTCAAGTTTAGCTCATTCAAGGCACCAAATATGTCAGTTAAATAAGCCAACATACATTGAAATGTGTCATCTTTGAACATTGTGAGCAAATCGTGTTTTTCTTTGAACTCAAGAAAAAGAATTACCTCTTCTTTCAATTCATAAAGGCGAGCCAACATTTTTCCTTTGGACAGCCAGCGTACTTCTGTATAGAACAGAAGAACTTTGTGATCAGAATCAAGATCCTCGCAAAGTAAAGTAAATAACCGACTGTTCAAAGCGCTGCTCTTGATGTAGTTTACAATCCTTATAGCCGAGTCCAAAGCCTGGCGTAATTTCTGTGGCAATGTTTTGGAAGCCAAAGCTTGCCTATGAATAAAACAATGTGTACTAACCATTGCGGGGTTTTTTTCCTTGAGCCTAAGCCTGATCGTACACCTATCATTGCAGGTGCGCCATCTGTGCAAAGTCCAATGAGCTTATTCCAATTCAAATATTTTTTTTCAACAAAAATTGATATTGAATTAAATATATCTTCAGATGATCTTCTTCAATGATATCTCCGCCTAATTATGTGTGTACAACAAGGAAGATTTTCACAAGGAATCTTTAATTTCTTTACATTTCGGCTTAATTTGAGATTTAAATGTTCTTGTCAATCGACAGACGTCATTGCCCACCTGGTCCAATCCCGAACAAATCCTTGCGCTATTCCGAACTTAACGGCCGCGCTCCTTAGACGACAGCTGCGCGTTACGACCACCTTATCTCGGACGAATGCTGTCGTCGATTTGTTTTACTGACCCTTAAGATCGGACTGTAGAGCTAACGATGTTCCAGAACTACCAATGTTTATATGTATAAAATTTTATTAAATTGAGCGCGCGCGAGTGTGTATGTGTATGTGTGTGTGTGTATGTGTGTGTGTGTGTGTGTGTGTGTGTGTGTGTGTGTGTGTGTGTGTGTGTGTGTGTGTGTGTGTGTGTGTGGCGCGTGTGCGTGTGCGTGTGCGTGTGCGTGTACTTGTGCGTGTGCGTGTGCGTGTGCGTGTGCGTGTGTTCGTGTGCGTGTGCGTGTGCGTGTGCGTGTGCGTGTGCATGTGCGTGTGCGTGTGCGTGTGCGTGTGTATATATAAGCGTTCATGCGTGCGTGTATCTGTGCGTGCGTGCTATTATAAGTTCAGCTGCTGGGCACATCCCTCTTCTAATTTCTAGGAGGACCTTAGAACAAGAGAAGATTCGCTGCACTGCCGTATTACCGATAAAACGGGTTTCACATGTCTTCGAAATATTTTTTAATAATTTCTCAAACTTGCAGGTTTCCTCAAAAGCTCAAGATGAATTTCTTTACTAACGTGGTAAATCGACACTGAAGATTGTAATTATTTTATTGATGCCGGCGGGGAACGAACTTGTATTCCCGTTGCTCGCGTAATGTGAAATTTATAGCGAACGCTTAGCCCCTGAGCTACTACGGCTCTTAATACCTAATGCTTACTTCACGAACAGAATTATTACGTACATTTGGTAACCAAATGGGAAGTTGATAGTAAAGCTATTCTTTACTATACTATTCTTTACTAATTTCCCATTTGGTTAGTGAAGAACAGAATTTCTTCTTCTTTAATCTTAAAACAATTTTTACATGATTAAATAATAATACTCATGAGAGTTGACATCAATCGATCTATTTTTGATGGCCTTGTGGTGTAGTGGCTTAATAAAAAGTTGGGGCGCTGAGAGGGACGTGGATTTGAATCCCGCATGGAATAAATACTTGTATGGCCTACAAATACCTAATTGTTCCGGGATTTCTGGATGTTTGTCCCTGTGAAATTTATTTATGTAAAATGCCTTCACAATGAGGACACAATCCTAGTGTCTAAGATACATAGGAAATCTAGAGGACAACGTTTTCTAAAAAAATTACAGAAATTATTTAAAGCTAGCTTCTAGAGTTCAAAAATGATTTAAACAAATTAACTTTTATACAGACAGAACAGAATTATGTATATATGTATAATTCTTATGAAATACAGATTACGAATAAAAAAAACATATTTATTTAGTTAGTAACATCATTTCTATAAGATTAATAGCTCTTTAGCAAAGGATTCTTGTGTGGGTTTCTCTGTAAGATGTCAGTTATCTACCATGAGAGGGTATTCCCTAGGTGTTCGGACACCGGGGCTTTACGTCGATACCCCGGGATTTAATAAGGGTTCAATGATGAGGATCACAGAATAGAGGAATTTTTCAACCGTGAAATTGTTCAATGACATTGAGATATTGTTTAGAAAATTAATAATGCTTTCAGTTAGTCTAAGAAGTTACAGATTTTTTTAGAGAAACTCAGACCATCATCTTCATCATTGTCATCCTCATTACAACCCGTCACAAGTCTATAGAAGAACATAGTCCTCCCCTAAGGATGCCACAAAATACGGGCGTGAGTAACTTGCATCCATGGTCTTACTACATCACTTACATTTTAACTGGTAACGAGAAATTTTATTAGCCTTTAGGTGTCACAACGCATTTACCCTCCAACGGGTGCCCGCTTTGTCGTAGCAAGAGGGTTTAGTAGCCGTGGTTTACGTACGAAGAAAACATGCTAATTTCTGAACACGTACTCACCAACGCATCTTCATCTTCATCTTAACTATGGTAAGTGTTGAGAACCGAATACCAATTTACTGGAAAAAAAGCATTTTGATTCCTAGTCGAGGACACATGTGGATTTTTATGAGCCACAAAATCCAGCAGCGTGCTTGTTTGTCGCTCTTCGTCTATAAAAATAACTAAAAATATTCGGTTTTTTTATGTTAGGCACCCGCTTGATGCTAGATACGTTGCACGCTGCACGCCTGTCACTGAGTTACGCCATTTCAAAGGTCAAAACATTTATGGTTCAATTTTGGCATAAATCCTTAAGATCACCAAAACCAATCACAGGTTCAAGTGTAACAAGCGATAAAAGGAACAATCACTTATTACTGAATAAAATTATATATACGGATTTTATCACGTTTAATTAACCTTACAGCACCCGAAATGTCGGAAATTAAAGATAAGTTTAAAATAAGTTAATTAGTCACGATAAAATCCGTATAAATAGTTTTATTCAATGTGTAGTGTTCGCGTAAGTTTAAGAAATCATTATCACTTATTACTACTATTTTATTTTATTTTTACCTTTAGGACAGATTTTTTTTTTATTTAATTGGCTTGAAAAGTAAGTAATCAATAATTAACTGGCAAGAAACCAAGAAATGATGAGATATTGAATAAAACTATTATTTACGGATTTTATCGCGTTTAATTACTTTAATTTATTTTTATTATTATCCCGACGTTTCGGGTGCTTTACAGCGCCCATGGTCACGGGGGGGGACAGAGATGTTTGACGTCCCAATGTCATAGTTAGTCCGGCTACCTTCAGTTTTTTAATATTAATTTTTGGTCCGATTTACGCAAAACGAGCTTATAGTATCATGAAGTCTTGCAGTGGTATGCTTGGGTTTGGGTTTAATTTTGTTGATTATAGGATCCCAAGCAGATGGTAGCACCCAACCATCTTCTCTATTGAAATTTGGATGTTTTTTAATTTCAATAGCCTCGCGTATCATCCTTGGTAGGAATCGGTGTTCTTTTGCTAGAATTTGTGGTTTATCAAATATAATGTAATGGTGGGGACGATCTTGAACATGTTCGCAGACTGCAGACTTCCCGGAGCGTCGGTGCTTCACATCAGCTATATGTTCCTTCACGCGGGTTTTTATAGATCTCTTTGTTTGACCTATGTAAGAGAGACCACATTCACAATCTAGCTTGTACACACCTGCATCTTGTAGAGGAATATTACATTTGATGGATGGTAAAAATTGACTAATCTTCTTCAGCGGCTTGTAGTATGTCTTAATGGACGCTCGCTTCAAGATGTAGCCAATCTTGTCCGTGACTCCTCCAACATATGGTAGTAGAGCAGGTGCGCGCTCGACTGTTGCCGGCTTCACTCGTTCACTGTGACGTAGGCGCGGGACCCGAAGCTTGTTGTCTTGCAATACTTGCTTGACGTGCTGAAGCTCCGCGGCCAGATGTTTTCTGTCACAGATCCCTCGTGCTCTCTGAAACAAAGATTTACCCACGGTAGCTAACTGTGAAGGATGATGGTGAGATTCACCATTTAGATATCGGTTGGTATGGGTCTTTTTCCTATACACAGTGTGACCAATAGTGTTATCAGGATTTCGGATGACTAAAACATCTAGGAAAGCTAAAGAATTATTTGCCTCTAACTCCATTGTGAATTGTATTTTAGAGTTTATGGAGTTAAGGTGGTCTAAAAAATGCAGTTACTTTGTCAGATGGTAAAATTGTGAAAGTGTCGTCTACGTACCGCTTGTAGAACCTTGGATTTACAGGAGCAATAAGAAGGGCTTTCTCCTCAAAGTCCTCCATGAATATGTCGGCGACTATGGGAGACACAGGTGAGCCCATCGCCACACCATCTACTTGCTTGTAGAACTCCTCCTTCCACAATAGATAGCCAGATGTGAGGCAATGTTCAAGTAGTATTGCATATTCTTGAGGCATGTTATTTTCTTCTAGCTTCCTAGTTACAATTGAGATGCAGTCCACAATAGGTAGGCATGTAAATAGTGACTGAACATCAAAACTGACCATAGTTTCATTGTTAGCGAGATGTAGGTCTTTTATCTCACTCACAAAATGGTATGAATCCTTTGTGTGTGCTCTGGTATGTCCTCTCAGTGGTGATAGTATTTTTGCTAAGTATTGTGCCAGCTTATAAGTTGGTGAATCGATCTGGCTCACTATGGGACGTAGTGGAGCGTTTGGTTTGTGTATCTTCGGTAACCCATACAACCTCGGTGGTTTGGCACATGATGGTATTAGCGAATTCACGTCGAGATTTAATTTTTCGGAGTATTTCTTTATTAAATCGCTAGTTGTTTTAAGCGTGTTAGTTGTAGGGTCTGTTTTGACCTTCTTATATGTACTTTCGTCCGATAAAAGTTGGTATTTTTCTATTTATATACCAAAAATTAACGATCAAATCAAATGCCAAACATCCAAGTCAACGCCAGAACAATAAACAACCGTTGACCATAGACACAAACTATAAACAACGCACTGTCTGTAATTTGTCAAAACATACACTGGACGAACCGACAATGAAAGTATTAGCGAAGGGAATGAACTTCGCATTAACTCGGCGAAAATTCCCGTACGAAGAAATTATCTGCAGTGTTGAGGATTGTCTGTTTAAGAATAATATCGGTAAGGAAGATTTGGAGGCCATACGTCAAGATATTTCGTCCTTGTTACGTCGCAGTTCAGTGCCGAAACCAAACCTTCCCAAAGACGAATTTACAGCG